TAGCATCAAAAACTCCATGCTACACGTGCTACGTGGCAGTTTCGAAGTGCTACGTGGCAGGTTTCGAAGCAGATCGTATGCTACATGTGCTACGCGAGTTTCGCGAGCTTTTTTTTTGCTCGCGAAACTCGCGTAGCACATGTAGCATACGATCTGCTTCGAAACCTGCCACGTAGCACTTCGAAACTGCCACGTAGCACGTGTAGCATGGAGTTTTTGATGCTACAGGCATGTAGCACGTGTAGCATGCGAAATTCGAGCTCTCTGAGCCCTCTCGCTCCGTCTCGAAGCCACGTACTGGCGAAAACTTTGACGGAAGGCTGCGCACTTTCACGACCCCGAAGATCTTTGAGCTCTGAGCCTGTAGAGCGAAGAATCGAGCAGGCCTGAAAGTCGGAATTCCATGGGGGTATCGTCTCTGAGCCCTGTAAGTGAACAGAAGTGCATCTGCCATACCCCTACCATAGAGAGAGGTCCGCTGCGAGTCGGGAACAGGGCGGAATTCCATGCTACATATGCTACGCGGTTTTCGCTGGAGGCGGCGGAAAAGGGGGGCGATTTCCATGCTACATGTGCTACATGGCGGTGTAGCAGGTGTAGCAGGCCGAATCGGGGCTCGGAGGAGCTGGCCTGTGCTCAGGGCTGTAGCATGTGTAGCACGCAGAATCGGGCAGCTTCGGGGGGCTGGCCTGGCTGTGCTATGTAGCACATGTAGCATGCAAAGTCACGGGTCTTCGGAGCGCTGGCCGCGTCGTGCTAAGTCTGTGTAGCATCTGTAGCATGTAGAATGAGCATCATTGTGGGACAGGGAAGTCAAGTTGTTTCAGTGCATCTACAACATCCGATGTTGCTCGCTTGAACGACTGTGGTGTGTAAGCAGCAAGACACCACATGTTGCCCTGGTGCGGTTCTACCATGTGGTAACGTCGTGCATTGAATGTCACTGGCCTGTCATGCATGTCGATCCAGGCTCCGGTTAGCTCGCGAAGACCCTTCTTTGTGGAGAGCTGCACATTTGCTGCGCCTGCATCATCTTCGATCCAGACACGACCTCCCAGGAAATCGCCCAGAGCGATCGCGTGATTGGGTTGCCCGATCATGTTTTGGATGTCTCGGTGCAAGCCTATGCATGGGTTGTGCACGATTGCGATGGAAGTCCACGATTGCCCTGGGAAGCGTTGTTTCAGAAACCGGTTGACGGCGACGCAGGCTTCGGCGGTGGACGACAGCTTGGTCAAAGTGGGCAACATGCCGCCGTGAGCGTAGAGTCCGAGCGTGATGTACTTCTCGTATGACCCGGCGCCGATGGCTCTTTTTCGCCCCGACTGGCTCCAGTCGCCGGACCACCTGTTCAGCAGTTGCACCAGATTGTGCTCGGATGGTCGTTCCATGGCCGCCTTGCACGCGAAGCTGAGCCCAGAATTCATTTAATAATATAATCGTTCGACATTGCCGGCATTTCGCACCCCAACCCCCCATGCCCCTAAAACACCATGCCGCACCCCAATTTTTTTGGATTTTGAAGCCGCCCGGGGAGGGTGCGCCCGGACGGCCCTCGGCAGCCGGCCGTTTTGCAAGCCGACCATGCACCGGCGAGAGCACGATTTCGGAGTGTCCCCCGCCTAGCATTTGAGCACGATTTCGGCCGAATCGCCCCTTCCCTGTCAAATCGGTGCCAGCCAGCCCCGGAACGTGGTCGGGGAGGGTTTAGGATGGGTCGAACACAGCCACACGGAATCGCCGGGCATCACGGAACCGCCGCGGCCCCGATCTTGGGGGTGCGCCCTGCTTATGTTTCACACACCTTGCCGGGCCCGCCGGCCAAAAGCGACACAGCCAGCCTCTTGAAGGCCCGCGCATGGCCCAAAAGGCTTTGCCGGGCCGTTTCACACCAGACTGTGGCGATGGCACGATTTCGGCGGGTACGTCCCCTAGGTTTGGCTCGAGATTTCGTGGCTTCGGCCGTTCAGTGTGGATTGGCTGCGAGCCTGTGGCCGTCGCCGACCCGATCCGTGGGGGTTTAGGATGCAGTCTCACCAGCAGGGATGCTCACAGATGCTCGCTCGCTTTTGCTCACTGATGCCATTTTGTTTTGTAACAGTATTCTAGTTAGGCCCGCCGACTTTTGCAGTAACATTTTGCTAGAGTGCTTTTGCCGGGGTTGCTTCTTTTTTGGTTTGGTCCAGGGCACCCGAACCCCCTTCGGCCCCGGAGTAGGCTTGACTCCAGCTGCCCCGCAAGTGCCGCGCAAGTGCCCAGTGAGCGCCTTCTGGTCTTTGTTTTTTTACTTTGTTACCGCGCCGCGGCTTGCAGCGCAGAGCAGTACATGAGGCTAAAGGCGACAACATCGGGCAATGGCTGACGAAAGAGCTGTGGCTAAGCGGTCCGAGCAGCTTGCTAACGCTATCCTGCTCAATCGTGATCTCTTCGCGTCCGCTCGAAAGTACACCTTTGAGAACGTAGTCAAGCTTGCGACCACTGCAATCGTGAGGGATGTTGCTGAGAAGCACCTGCGGGACGGTCACCCAGCTCCGTCGGAAGCACGTGGCCTCGAGACCGGCTGGGGGAATTTGGTCGATTGGCTGGGTCTTAACAGGACAGCGGAGGCCATCTTGAAGCGGGCAATCGAACACTCTATGGAACCGAGTCGCAGCGGAGATGATGCCTAGGAAGTCAGCTTGGCGCGGAGCATCGGAAAAACAATATATCTGAGTGAGTGCCGAGTGCTTTGTTTTTGTGCGACATGTCTACCTGGTCTACCTGTACTGCCATTACGCAGCGCATTTTTTGTTGATCAGGGCTGTTGCGCCGCAGCATTTTGCTTACGCTTTTATCCTGTGGGGTGGCAAGGGCTTCCCCCTTTTGAACCGGGGAAGGCGCGCTCCGAACCTAGACCCTAAAACCCCCTCTGCCCCTCCTCGCGCCCTCTGTCAGGTACTTGGCCTCCCCCTTCAATTCGTTGCCTGGTCCTCGGCCTTTGCAGTACAGGGTCTCTTTTCGGATTTCGGGGGTTTGGGGTTCGTCTGTCCTTGTCCGCGCCGGCTGTGATCTGGAGTCCAATCTGGAGTGCCACAGCCCCTCCCCCGACTCAGGTGATCCTCTCGCCTTCATCGACTTCGTGAGCCTGGGCCTCGGCTTTGGGTTTTTCTTTGAGGTTTTGGGGTTTGGTGTGTCCTCCTCGTCTGCAGCCCTGGTGCCCCCACCCCGGCCTCCTCCCCGACTCGTCCTGCCCAGGTCTCGACTTCTTCGACTTCCGGCGCCTGGACCTCGGCTCTGTGGCTTCATTTGCGCTGGTCGGTGGGTCCTTTGTGGCTTCAGGCGATGAGAAATTTCATGAGGAAGGGCATCCAGATCGGTGGGCTCGATGGGTTCATCAAGAAGGCTGGGAAGGTGGGACGCTCGTTGCACACCAACCCTGGTCGTTTCGTTCAGGAGCGGCCCGATGGTGAGGCACGTCTTGGAGGTTTTCACGCGGAAGGTGTGTGGCTTGTGTTTGGGAGGCCACGGCGAGCTCCGATGCGGCCCAGGTCGCACGGAGCCCAGTTTTCGGCGCTACATGTGCTACTCGGTGCCCCGGCAGGCCATGGCAAGCACACCGGCGGCGATCGAGCCGCAGGCTCTTGCGAACAGCCCAGTTTCAAATGCTACATTTGCTACATTGGGTTCGTGGCAGGACACTGGAAGTATCCCGGAGGCCTTGGACATGTAGCATATGTAGCATGTATACTTCGTGCCCGTCAGGTCGCAGAAGCTTCGGATGCCGAGATGGTGGTCGGCCAGGCTGAGGCAGCAAGGTAGCATGTGTAGCAGGCACTTAAAAATGTTTTGCATTCGGCAGGTCAAGGAAGATGGACCGCATGACGAGCAGTCTGCGGAGACGCTCCCGAGCAGCGAGGCACTCGGCGTGTAGCATGTGTGGCATGCCCGCGCGCCCTGTTGCAGGCTCCAGCTCCTGCGGATCAGACTCAGGTCGTGGCGGTTGGCCCAGCTTGCAATGCTACGTCTGCTACATGTGGCTGTTGTTGCAGGCCTCAAACACGGGCCCGATGGTGACCGAGCCAGAGGCCATGACAGCTCCAGAACTCGAGTATATCACAGTCCTGTAGCATGTGTAGGCGGCGCATCCCGTCGCAGGACCCAGCTCCCAAGATCTCGGATCAGATCCAGGTCGCAACGGACAGCCTCGTTTTAGATGCTACTTGTGCTACATGTGTGTTTGGCAGGCGGCGGAGGACACCACAGCCCCGGAGACGGCCGAGCAAGAGGCCTTAAGACGCGTAGCATGTGTAGCGTGTGTGTTCTGCGCCCGGCAGGTCGCAGAAGCTTTGGGTGCCGAGACGGCAGCCGACCAGGCGGATCCCAGGTAGCACATGTAGCATGCGATTCCCCCCCGCTGTTTGGTAGGCCCCAGAAACTTCGGATTCGGCCGAGCAAGAGGCCGTGGCAAAGGCGGCACATGCCTGGAAACGTAGAAACATCGTGAGGGCTTGGGATGTCCCGTGGTAGAGGCTTTTGCGACGGGCTTTCTGCGAAGCTTCGCTCTTCCGATTGAGACAATCCAGGCATTCGGCGTGTAGCATGTGTAGCATATGAAACCCTGATGTTCGGCAGGCTGCAGCTCTTCAGGATCAGACCGCGGAGCAGGAGACCGCGGGGCAGGTTGGGTTAGTTTCGGTGCATGCGTGAGTTGGGTGCGCAGCCCCTTGACCAGGCCGATGATCCGATGCCGGAGGTCACGGAGCCGTTTTGGCGCCAGCGCTTGGGTTGATTGGGGATGATTGTGGTCTTGCAGGCTGAGCCAGTCCAGGATACCGCGGAGCCGATCCAGGAGACCGTGGAGCAGGTTGGGTTAGTTTCGGTGCATGCGTGAGTTGGGTGCGCAGCCCCTCGACCAGGCTGATGAGCCGATGCCGGAGGTGACGGAGCCGGGGCAGAGCTCCAAGATGGAGGCTTGTCGATCATCGCAACGCCCTAGCTTTAAAAAATGCATCCTTTGACAGGCCTCCTACGTGGACGCTGAGTGGAGTTCCGGTCTGAGCCCCGATGTGAAAAGCTTTGTGCACGGCTACCTTCGAACCGCCGATAATCCCTACGAGATGGTCCAGATACGGGCTCTGCAGGGCTGTAAGATCTCGGACACTTTCGGTGCAGCTTTGATCGGGGCAGCCGATGAGGACGCTGCCAGGGTTCAGCTGTTGGATGCGTTTCTGGGCCGAGCGGCTGCATCGGACCCGCTGGAGCGTGACCTGGAGCGGCTGTACGATGAGGCCATGGAGAGCGAAGAAGAGGAAGATGATCCCGAAGAAGATGAGACCCGAGCTCTCATGCTTGAGGCGCAGCTGAAGCTCAGGCATGTCCGTATGAGGGCCAGGAAAAACCGCGACTTGGCATTGTCTCGGTTCGCTGGTGATGTGCTAGAGGATCTTGAGGAATGGACTCCAGGGGCCCAGGCCGTAACCGAGAGGGCGCTGAGCGACACCTTCAACCAGATGCTGAAGATGAACCCGGAGGAGGCCTTGAAGTGTGCGAGGGCTTCCTTGGCGTCGCTTGATGGGGAGCCGGCGCCAGCGGCCGGAGCCGACTTCGCCCTGAGGTTGAAGGTCGCGGAGGTGCTGAAGTGTGGCGACTTGTGCCTGGATCTCGGGACGCCGGAGCAGGGCCAAGCTTACCGGGAGATGGCTTCGAAGCTCGAGCCGTGCAAATGGGGGGCCATGGTGCTGAACGAGCGGGCCAACCACGAGCTCCTCTACGAGGTGTTGAAGATCCGGGCGATCTCTCAGCTGAAGCTTCGCTCCACGATTTTCCGCCTGGCCTACCGTTCCGAGATCACACGGGGCGTCTTCCCCGCCGTGTACGGCGAGAAGCCGAAAGATGTCATCATGTTCAAGCGGTGCTTGGCCTCAGGATTGAAGGAGTTCTACACCGCCGAGGCCGCGGAAAAGAAGAACGAGGCGGTCAAGAAGGCGGCGGAGAAGGCTGCGAAGAAGATGGCAAAGACGGGAGCGGGCCTTGAGGAGGAGCAGGAGGAGACGTTGGTGTCCAAAGAAGTCCTACCGCTGCCAGACCGGTGTGTCAAGGTCAAGGAGAAAGGGCTTTCGGCCATCGACTCCACTCGCAGCCTCAGCAGCTATCCAAGTTGGGTCCAGCAGCTGGCTCGATGGGGTACCGGCGTGGTGGAGTTCCTGATGAACTTGTACCCCCGCCGCGAGCCGACCGGCGACATCGACATGCACGTTGTCAGGACGCTGCGTCAGCATGGCGACGACTACGCGGAGCAGACCTATCGTGAGGCGCTTGAGGAGCAGGACCTCCGAACGAGCCTGGAAAATGTCGCAATGGAGCTCGAGCAGCAGGGCGACACAGTCCTTGTGTCCGTGGGTCGCGACAGCTTCTGCGTTGCCCATCCAGACGGCCCGGACTCCGTGACGGACGAATGGATTGCCAGGGTGCAGGAGGCCGGCTCGGCGGCCGGAGCGGTCCCGCTTCCCACCAAGGAGCCGCAGGAGATCCTTGACGAACTCAAACGGGCCTACCCGGAGCTGCACTGGAACATTATCGACGCCGACGCGCTCGAGATGGAAATGAAGCGGCTCGAGTTGGCATCTTACATGAGAGACTCCCCTCAGTGTCCAGAGCTGTTGCTTTCAGAAGTCTTGGTGAGTCAGCTTGTGCGCTTGGGCGACCGGGAGCTGCGCCTGAGCGAAGTGTACCGAGCCGTGCAGGAAAGCCCCCACTCTTACTCCCTGGCGGTGTGGGACGACAGTCGCGGCAGGTGGACGCTTCGCACGAAAGACTTTATGGAGACCAGCTTCAAGGACAAGGTGAAGGCCCTGGCGCAGTCGATTTGGACCGAGGATCTGGGCTTCGAGACGAGGCTGCCGAATTGGGCAACTCGCGAGGCCACCATGAAGCAGGCCGCCGAGAGCGCCATGAAGCGCCTGCTGGACCCGGAGTTCAACGAGCACATGGACAGCAGCGAGACCCGCCGATTCTTCTTGTTCGACGACGGGTACTACATCGACCGCGAGACCCACAGCGTCGGCCGCTGCACGCCGGACTTGATCATCACCAGGTGCTCCGCGATGAAGTACCCCTTCGAGGCCATGAGTGGTTTCGAGACGGGCGGGGTGAAGAAGGGAGTCAAGGACTTCCTGGTGGCCGTCTCCCAGTACGAGCGCCAGGTCTTGGTGTATGAGGGGGTGCAGGAGGACTCCTACCCGCCGGCGATCTTGGAAATGTTCGATGCTCTGCTGGCGAGACTGCTGGCCTTGCGCGTTTTGTACTCGATGTGGAAGCGCCCGGCAGTCGTGGTGTTCATGCTGAAGCTCCTTGCTGCCCGGATGTTCGCGCGAGAGGGCCTTGAGGAATTCTATTTCTTCCAGGGGCCGGGCGGCAATGGCAAGGGGCTGCTCACCTTCTATTTGGAGCACCTGCTGGGGACATATCATCAGGAAAGCGATTACTCGCTTTTCTGCACCAATATGGATCCCGCCAAGGCCAGTCCGCAGGTGGTGGCCATTCGGGCCAGGCGCATCGTCTCCATTCCGGAGAGTGAGACCTCGCAGCAGCTGAAGTCGAAGACAGTGAAACTGTGGAGAGACCAGACGACAACCATCACCTGCAGATCGCTCTTCAAGGATGACATCAGGTTCAACCCGCACTTCGCCATGATCTTCTCCACGAACAATCGGGCGAACTTCTCCGCGCTCGACGGCGGTGTTCAGAGGAGTTTGTGCGTGATCCCATTTCCAGTCAGCTTTGTTGACAGGGAGCCGGTCGGTGCTGACGAGGCCCGCGTGGACATCACCCTCAAGACTCCGCAGACTCAGGAGGTCGTGGCGCCGGAGCTCCTCATGCTGCTGACGATCACCGACGAGATCTTCTACAAGGACGGCGTCGGGGGGACCACCGTTCAGCCGCAGCCGAAGCTGGTGAAGGAGGCCAAGGAGCAGTTCGTCGCGAGCGAGCACCAGCACCTGTTCGACGCCTTCCGGGACAAGAGGCTGACGACGGCTACATCTTACCGCGATGCCTCGAAGGAGACAGAGATCCGCACAGAGTTTGTGCAATTTTGCTCTTCGGTGATCCAGCAAAAGCATGCGGCGAACTCGCTGTTGAATGCCAACATGGACCGGGTCACGGTGGTCGGCCAACGCTACCTTCGCCTTCGCGAGAGTGGAGGGAAGGGCTTTGTGAAGCTGAAGCAGGAGATCTCGGCAGCGTTCTCGGCGTCCAGCGGCGGCTTTGAGGGCCTGTAGATGTGGAGCCAAAGCGGACGGATATCTCAGCGATCTCTGCGTACTGCGGCTGTGAGGGCCTGTGGACCAAAGCCGAAGGATATCTCAGCGATCTCTTCGTACAGCGGCTTTGAGGGCCTTTGGCTGTAGAGCCTGGTTGAAGGGTGTGAAGCCCGGAGCACGTGGAGCCACTACTACGGAGCGACAACCTAGCGGCAAGCCCAGCAGCAAGCCCAGCAGCAAGCCCCGCAACAAGCCGAGTAGCAAGCCCAGTAGCCTAGCAACAACGTGCCCGCGGATTCTGCCCTGCACATTTTCGGTGTAGCACGGTGTACGGTGCAGCACCCTCGCAAAAAAGGCCGTTGCGGGAGTTGTCAGTTGGCTTGGCATCGTCGGTTGGCTTAGTTTTCGCATGCTACACATGCTACATGAAGAACCCTGTGGGCGATCCGTGCTCGGCTCATGCTCTGAAGATCCGGGCGGGGCGAGTGCAACCAACAAGGCCTGCGACTTTGCGGCTTGCGGCTTTTTTTCACTCGAATCAGTTGTTGAGCAGGTCAGTTGGAGCAGACGTCGGGGCCCAAAGGGTACGTGATCGAGTGCAGTTGAGTTTCTCGAAAGCAGTTGTGGAGCAGGTCAGTTGGAGCAGACGTCGGGGCCACAGAGAGCGTGTGAGTGCCGCGTTCACCCTAAATCCCGAACCCTCTGAACCCGAACCCCTAGAACCCTAAACCTTCCCTATAGACTCTTCGTCCCTGCGTGTGCCGGTCTTGATGCTGCTGTGAGTGCCGCGCGGTTTACCCTAGCCCCGAACCCTCTGAACCCGAACCCCTAGAACCCTAACCCTTCCTCCTGTGGACGGCCTTGTGATGCTTTGACATGTCTTCAGCGTTGCCTTGCTTCCGCAATGCTACACATGCTACTTGCTATGTAGCATGTGTAGCATATGTAGCGTGTGGGGGGGTGCGAGGCGGGTCCGTGGAAATCAAAGAACCGTCATGTAGCATGTGTAGCATGTGGAGTCCGGGGGGTGAGAGGTGCGCGAGTGAAACCAAAGATCCGTCAAGTAGCATGCGTAGCATGTGTAGCATGTGGGGTCCGGGGGGTGCGAGGCGGATCGGTGGAAATCAAAGAACAGCCATGTAGCATGTGTAGCATGTGGAGTCCGGGGGGTGCGAGGCGCGCGAGTGAAACCACGTATCGGCCATGTAGCATGCGTAGCATGTAGGTTCCCATCCCCCAGAGGTGTGAAGAGCATCGACAATATCAGGGTAAATAATTAAAAAAGATATAACCTGGAAATAAGAAGGAGGTTTCCCATCCCCCAGGGGTGTGAAGAGCATCGACAATACTAAGGCAAAATAAAAAGAAAAATCAAACTTGGAAATAAATTAAGAAGGAGGTTCCCACACACACACATATATATATATACACATATATACATATATTATTTGTAATCGAAATATATACATATATATATATATATATATATATTAAGAAAAACTTACTTATTATTATTATTATTATAGTATATATAATGGGGTACAAGAGGGGGTTTCTTACTTCGTGTTATGCCTTTCCAAGCTGGTCCACTGGGGTCTCGGTTGTATGCGCTGCGCTTAGGATAACCAATTGGGGATTTTTTCTTTACTCCGTGCTATGACTTTCCAAGCCGGTCATCTGGGGTCTCGGTTTTATGCGCTACGCTTGGGGTAACCAACTGGGGGTCTCATAGCTTGTCCACGCGGCTCACCGGACCGCCCGATTCTATGTGCTACATGTGCTACGCGACGTTTCCCACGCCCGCCGTTTCTCGGCAAGCCCCCCGATTCTGCATGCTACATGTGCTACATGACTCTTTTGCGTTTGCCATCTAGCCCCCGCGGGCCCCCCGATTCTACGTGCTACATGTGCTACGCGACGTTTCGCACGCCCGCCGTTTCTCGGCAAGCCCCCCGATTCTGCATGCTACATGTGCTACATGACTCTTTTGCGTTTGCCATCTAGCCCCCGCGGGACCCCCGATTCTACATGCTACATGTGCTACATGGCTTTTTCGATTGCTCACCGCCCGCCCACCGGACCCCCCGATTCTACGTGCTACATGTGCTACACCGATTCGAGTAGCATATGTAGCATCTGCATTGGGCCCAATTCGGCTGACCCCCATGCCAAGCATCACGTAGCATATGTAGCATCTGTGTTGGGCCCAGCTCGGCTGACCCCCACGCCAAGCATCACGTAGCATATGTAGCATCACGGCGGTGCCGTGGGCCCGGGGTTGAAATCTCTGAGCTGCCGCACCGCTAACGGTACCGGCCGCCGAGTCAGCCGCGCCTTAGGCTCCGCGGAGCCGCGAGGCACCGGGAGCGCATGCTTCAGCAGGGTCTCCGAGCCGTCGGTGGCCCGCACCGTCATCGAGTCGTAACTCGAAACCTCCCGCACCGCCCCGTACTGGGGCTGGAAGCTCCGCGCCGCATTGGTGGGGGCCCGGAACGCCCCCGCCTCCTCGAGCCGCCGCTGACGGCTCCTCGTCAGCTCGTCATTGTGCTTGAACTTTTGAGCATTGTCTTGATACACGCGGAAGCTCGCGGCCGGCATCGTCTCCACATCCTCGGGCGCCACCGTCACGGCCGCATGCGGCCTGGCATTGTAGGCTTCCGCCGCCTCTTCCACATGGTCGCCCCAGCCCCCACCGTCCCGGGCCACCTTGCCCGCCAGATCCTTCTTCAAAGTTTGAATCGCCCGGTCCACCACCGCCGTCGCATTGCGGTCGGAAGGGTCCTTCTGGCGGTGCACCGCGCCTCCGGGCAGCGCCGCCTCCAAACCCCGAAACTCGTTCCCCATGTCCGTCGTGACCACGACGTTGGTTTCGTCCTGGACCAGGTCGGGGATGATCTCCGCCGCCGCTCGGGTGACGGTCTCCGCCCGCTTGTCGGGCAGGGCCTTCGTGGCCACCTCCCGGGTGAACACATCCGTCACCACAAGCCCGTACTTGTTCGCCCCCCTCGTGTTCTGGGAGAAATCCACCAGGTCGGCTTGCAAGCGGTCGTTCGGCCCCTCCGCCGCGCTCTTCCCCAAACTCCGCGGCTTCGGTGCGAGCACCTGCCGCGCCACGTCGCTGCGCAATGCCGCCTGGGCCCGCGCACTCGTTAGGTCCCGCCGCTCCGGAAACTCCCGGCGGGCTATCTGGTAGAGCTTCCTGGGGTCCCGCACATTGAAGTCCCGGGCCAGCCGCCCTAAGAGCTCCATCGCACCGTCCTCTGCCATTTCTAATCCGAGTCACCCTTGCGCCCCTTCTTCTCGAGCTTTTCGACCCGCTTCTGTAGCTCCTTCACCGTGCCCCAAAGCACGGCCACCATGCGCTGGTAGTTCAACGTCAGTAGCCCCTCGTCCGTCTCGTGGGTGAACATGGGGCCGAGCTTCCCGGCCGCCTGGACCTCTTGGGCGATGAAGCCCACCTGGTCCTTCTGCCCGCTGTCGGACCGGTCGTAGATCTTGGCCTCCACCGCATCGAAGATCTCCCGCATGTCCCGGTGCTTCAGCGTCCGCACATTGGTCTTCACGCTCCGATCCGAGAGCTCCGTGAAGCCGTAGGTGGCCACCATCCAGCCGGGCAGCGACGGGTTGCTCTGGGGGTAGATGATCACATTTGCGCTGCTGAAGCCGCCGCTCACGTTCGTCAAGCTGATGGTCTGGTTGATGCTCGCCAGGGTGCAACCGCCGGTAGAGGCCACCTCCAGGTCCGCACCGCCCAAACCCCCGTTGGCCAACAACCGCAGCCTGGCGAAGCCCGTGGCCGAGGTGTTCTCGACCTCGGCGGTGACGATGGACTGATTGCCCGTCACCTGCATCCTCTCGCACTGGTGCTGCACGCCCTGCGTGCCGCCGACCAGCTGCAGCCAGCTGCTGGTCGTCACGAGCCCGGGGTCTGCCACCAGGGCACCGCCCATGTAGACGGCGCCCGTGTTCACGTAGATGCCCTGGGTGCCGCCGGTGATGGTGAGGTAGTCGTCCGTGGGCCGGGCCTTCACGATGGGGCTCCGCAGCTCCGTGGTGAGCTCCACGCTGTCGGAGGTGGTGGTGCCCGCCACGGCCAGGCCGCCGTTGGCGGAGACGAGCCCCGTGGCCGCGATGGTGGAGCTGGTGTTGAAGGCTCCCGTGGCGGCGGTGCTGCCCACGAAGAACTGGGCGAAATCCGCCGTGGTTGCGTTCAAGGTGCTGGCCGCGGCCACCGTGACGTCCCGGTCCATGCTGATGCCACCGTCGGCGAAGCTGGCCAGCAGCGCCCCGTCCTCCTTGCGGATGGTCACCAGAGCGTTCTGGACCTGCAGGTCGCCCGCCGAGCTCCGGAGCTCGGGCGTGTCCACGAAGCTCGTGGCCGTCAGGGAGTTGACCGTCAAGTCGGCGGTGGGGGCGACCCCGCCGCTGTTCTCCAGGGTGGTGACGCGGGTGTCGATGGAGGTGACCTGGGAGCCCAGGCTGTTGAAGGTGGCGACCAGAGGGTAGCGCGAGTCCGACTGGCCCTTGGACCAGCAGTCGCAGGAGATTTGGAGGGTCGACCCATTCCCCAGGATAGGCTGGCAGGACAGCGGGGTCTGGCACAGGAGGTTTCGAATCACTGTCGGAGTGAACTGGGTCTGGGCCAAGTTGAAGATCCCGCTTCCTTCGGCGCCGGGAGTGGTGACGAAGTACCGGGCATCGAGCGGACCCAGATCGGAGGTGGTGAGGTACCGCGAGTCGGACTCGCTCTTGGAGTAGCAGTCGCAGGTGATCTGGAGGGTGCTGCCGTTGCCGAGGACGCTGGCTCCGGCCAGCGGCGGCTGCAGCAGCAAGTTTTTGATGATAGGAGGGAAGAACTGGTTCTGCACGATCTGATGAATGGAGCCGCTGGCGGCACCGGGCGGGCGCACCAGGTACCGGGCGTCCCCCGAGGTTTGGTCCAGGAAGCCGGCGCCGGCGATGGCGTCGTCGATCTCGCTCTGCGTGCGCCCCGACGTCCAATACTGGATTAGCGTGGC